CACGCTTCCGAAATGTTGAAGAAGTGCGAGAATGGGTGGACGAATGGATTGCTTCGAAACAAACATCGTTTTATCGAGATGGTATCGCCCAGTTGCCAGAAAGATGGCAAAAAGTTGTAGAAAGTGATGGAAAATACTTTCATTGAAATAATTTAAATAAATTTTTTACAATAAATGCTTTTTCTCAGTATTTTTTGGGCGGAAACTAAGTTAAGGTCCTAATAATAGAAGTCAGAGAGATAACAATAACAAAAATGTATACGTTTTGCAAGACATGGCTTGCTGCGATATTTCTTTTTACCATTTATTTATAACCTCGCGTTTTTCTTTTTTACTTGTTTTTATAGTTTGTTTAATCAACTTCTTTCTCATCCCCGCTGCAATAATCGTTATTAAAATATGCACAAGTTTTTCCTTTCATATTTGTATTTCAGTTATAATTCTGTTTGAAACAGACAGTGATCTAAATATATTCTCTACTGCACAATATTTATTTTACAATAGCTTACATCTTCCAGCAATTTCAATATGTTTTTACAAGATTTCCAAATTGTGCTGTATTCTTACACTGTATGCGACGATTGAAATGTGTGATGGATAAGTCATTTATATATATGTAATGTACGTAATCCAAATGATCCAAACCTTATATCCAATATTTCCTACATTCGTCCCCATGCCGACACAAATGACGATCTCAGAAATGTCCGAAAACGCTCCTAGCACGTCCTCCTCATCACACTACAACATACTCCCATACACTTATGACAAACATGTAGAAACGCGCAGAACATATTACATAAATAATTAACGTTTTGTTATAGGAAAATGAGTGACCCGCGCAGCAGGACAAAATATCAAAGGCCCCTTTACGAAAAAATATTATAAAAAAACTATAGAGAACGAGTAACGTCAATAGTTAAAACAGTAGTATTTTCGTCGATTAGCGAAAATACTACTGCTTTAACTATTGACAACTTATATTAAAACTACTTATAAAATTTACGAATAGGTTTTCTATAATTTTCTAATAGTGTTGTAATAAGTATACAGTAATATTCCGATATTTTTAAATAGTGCTTCAATAGTTTTCCTATATTGTTCTCAGTTTTTTCTTATAGTTTTTTTCCGTAAGGACCGCGAGTTTTGGACTGACGAACCACGTAATCCCTCGGCAGCAGAGGACAGCGACGAATAAATAATATGATGTTTGTTTCTTTTTCCTTACGTGAGTACTTTATTGCATTTTATTGCATTTTATAAATTATTTAGTGAAATAGTGCAATTACTTTTAATTGTTTACATATTTATTTCTTGCTCACTTCAACTTAATTATTATTTACTTTTATCTAATATTTACGATTGTATTCCAAATAGAGCAGGAGTTATGGCGCGGGGCGCCGAT